CCTCAGGGAGGCAGCGACGCGGGAACAGCAGCAAGAAGGCCACCGAAGTGTCAGAAAGAAGACACCAAAGTACCATTATTTGTATGTGTGATGGCCCATCTAGAGGACCCCAAAAATAAGCGTTTAAGACAGTCTCAGAATTGGTAGCAGCAAAAAAGAAAAAAGAAAAAATCACTTGCTTTCTGTTATTCTAACAATAATGAGTAGTAGCCAGGGCATGGAGGGTGGGGAAATCCACTCTCAATAGTCACAATAAATTGCTTAGGAATAACAATTGAGCAGAATCTATGTGAAGAAAACTACAGCCACACCCTGATCCTTGGTGGGAACAATTGCAGCCAAAATTCCACATGATCTGGGGGAAATGTGTCAAAATTCTAAATGTCATCTGGATGAATAAACTGATAAGAATAACTACGATTTTTTTAAAAGAATGATATGGAGTTGCCGAAACCGGTTTGGCTCAGTGGATGGAGCGTCGGCCTGCGGACTGAAAGGTCCCGGGTTCGATTCCGGTCAAGGGCATGTACCTGGGTTGCGGGCACATCCCCAGTAGGAGGTGTGCAGGAGGCAGCTGATCGATGTTTCTCTCTCATCGATGTTTCTAACTATCTCTCTCCCTTTCTCTCTGTAAAAAATCAATAAAATATATTTAAAAAAAAAAAAAAAAAAAAAAAAAAAAAAAAAAAGAATGATATGGAGAACTTGCCATACCAGATATGAAAAATAGAAAGTTTCACATTAGTTCATGAAGAAACCAGATGAATGAAATAGAGTAGAATGGCCCAGAAAGGGATTCTCGTATGATATATGATAAAAAGAAGCACAAACTAATAGGGAAAATAAATGTGAAGCAGTTACAATAATGGAAAAATTGACTGTTTGGGAAAAGTCCAGTTCCATTTATATCTCACAGCATTCATTAAAATAGTTGCAGACAAATTAAAGACTTAACTTCTTTTTTTTAAAAAAATGGACATGTAATAATCTAGTGGAACATTCAGGTGAGTATGGAGATGCGTTTGTAATGTATAAAAAGCCGTGGAGAAAATCACAAAAAAAAAAAACTGTGAAGATGCAAACTTCTGCACCTCAGAAGTGGTAATAAAATTAGAAACCAAAAGACAATCTGGGGATACATTTGTCATAAATATGTTAACTAACGGCATACTATTTCTGGTTTATAAAGAACTTGTGCAAGTGAATAAGAAATAAACGCATCCTCGCAGGGGAAAAAAACGGGCCTAATTCACAGAAAAGCACCGGGAAGCAAGGACCGCCTTAGGAGTGGGCGCAGGCGTGCATAGAAAGGAAAATAGGATGCTGCCATTACCTTTTACAATAGTTAAGAGGAAATTCTTTTTTAGAGGGGAAAGATCGTATCATTGCCCGCAGATGCATAAATTAAAGCCACCTTTCATTCTGACAATGTAGAAAGATAGTAAGGGCGTTTTAAATGTTTTTAACTTTGACCTAGTAATTCCAGGTCTAGGACTTCATCTCGAGGAAATAACCAGGGAAAAAGTGAGTTTTTTGTACAGTGATGTCCAGTGCAGCGCGATCTGTAGACGCCAGGAGTTAGAAACCGTTTACGGTGACCGAATGGTAAACCGATAGCACCTCCCCGCGGTCCCCTGGTGCACGGAGGCCGCTCTAACCAAGCAAGCCACACGGACCAGGGCTACACAATCACGTTTTTAAAAATAAGGAAAGTAAGCCCTGGCCCGTGTGGCTCGATTGGTTGGGCGTCCTCTCACCAAAAGGTTGGTCTGATTCCCCATCAGGGCACATGCCCAGGTTGCCAGCTCGATCCCTGGTTTGAGCGCATGGGGAGCGGTCCATAGATGTTTCTCTCTCATATGGATGTTTCTCTTTCTATCTCCCTCTCCCTTCCTCTCTCTCTCTCTAAAACTCGATTAAAAACTATATTTTAGCACTAGCTGGTTTGGCTCAGTGGATAGAGTATCAGCCTGCAGACTGAAGGGTCCCAGGTTCGATTCCGGTCAAGAGCATGTACTTTGGTTGGGGGCTCCTCCCTGGCCCAGGCCCTGGTCAGGGCTCTTGCAGGAGACAGCCAATCGATGTGTCTCTCTTCATTGATATTTCTCTGTATTTCCTTCTCTATAAAAATCAATGGGAAAATATCCTCAGGTGAGGATTTTTTTAGGTATATTTTTAAAATAATGAAGGTGAACATCTTCTCAGAGAGTCGCCGTGGTTTCCCACTTCAACAGAGCTTGGACGAACCTGGCGCTCACCCATCCCAGCCAGCCACCCAGATGCAGCCTTCGCTGCCCCCCCCCCAGGCCTCTGCCACCGCCTCCCCAAGGCCCTGCTACCGCGACCAGCCCAGCACCACGCAGCCGCCTCTCCTTAGCCGCCCACCATGATGACCACGCAACAACGATGGCGGCAATGACGACCACAGCGACAGGGACTTCCACCACATCTCGCAGGACGACTGCCCGGACTCGGAGGCCGCCATCCGCCGCCCCCTCAGCCTGCAGCTCCACGCTTCCCGCGTCTGCCTGTCTGTCTGCCTGTCCGTGTCTGACTACTTTGACCGCCATGACGTGGCTTTGAAGAACTCTGCCAAATATGTTCTTCCCCAGCCTCCTGCGGAGCGGGAACGCGCTGAGCAACTGGTGACGCTGCAGCCCCGCCGAGGGGTGAACCTTCCTGCAGGGTCTCCAGAAGCCAGACCTGCCTGGCTGGGTGGGCGCAGTGGTTGGGGTGATGGCCCGCGGACAGAGGGATCACGGGTCGATCCCATGGACAGAGGGCTCGCGGTGCGATTCCAGTCAAGGCCACCTACCTCCGTTGCAGGCTCCATCCCCTGGTTGGGAGTGCAAGAGGCAACCAATCAATGTGCCTCTCTCACATCAGTGTTTCTCTTTCTATCTCCCTCTCCCTTCCTCTCGATCTAAAATTCACTTGGAAGTATATTTTAAAAAACAATGAAAGGGACAGTCTTCGTGGAGAGCCACCGTGGTTTCCCACGTCAACAGAGCTCGGACGAACTCGGCGCTCATCCATCCCAGTCAGCTGCCCAGATGCAGCCTTCGCCACCTCCGACAGCCCTAAGGCCACTGTCCCAGGGCCACCGCCACCACCACCACTACCATCCCAGCGCCACCATCCCAACACCCCTGCCCTAGCACCCCCGCCCCACTGGCCGCCATCCCAGCGCCATGTAGCTGCTTCTCCTTAGCCGCCCACCATGATGACCACACAACAGAGCTTGGACGAACCCGGCGCTCACCCACCCCAGCCAGCCGCCCAGATACAGCCTTTGCCGCCTCCTCACAGGGCCTCGGACAGCCCCAAGGCCCTGCCACCGCCCCCGTCCCAGTGCCCCCGTCCCAGTGTCCCCGTCTGACAGCGCCCGTCTCAGCGCCCCCAACCCCCCGCTCCAATTGCACCGCCACCACCCCTGTCCAACTGTCCCGCCACTAGTTCCCCCCCCCCACCATCTCCACGACCCACCCATACCAACACAGCGGCCTCGGAGCCACAAAGCGACCTGTTGTCTGCACCAGAGGAAGAGGAGTACCACGGAAGTGAATGACACGATGGTAATAGCCGTGACGATATTAGCACGATATTGGGCCAACACTAGGTGCATTTCAGGGCGTCTCGAAATCTATTAGGTCAAAGGGGAAGTAGGCTAAAGCTCATCGCATCTTCAATTTAAACCACTGCCTTTCTGCCGCGTGTCCCGGTCTCCTACTTT